CCCTTTCTTCCTCGATATCGACGGCATCCAATCACCAGGGGAGACCTATCACCCGAGCTGCTGGCCTGCAGGAAGGGTGAGGCCTTGGGGCAAGGCCGGGGCAGCCAGTTTGAGAAGGGCGTTCATTTGGGGCAGTGTTTCACCAAGCGCTATAGACAGCAGCCCGGGCTCTGTTGTGGAAAGGGTCGCCACGCACTGGGGGCTGACCCTGTGGCCGCCGACAGCAGCCACAACGTGACAGTCTCTCGATACGTCCCGTGGCCCGCTGTACTGATGCCCGCTAGGGGGCCTGCCAGCTTGTCCCCCACGAAGCGCTGCCAGCTCACCCCACTCCCTGCTCCCTGCCAGCTGCTTCTGGAGCACCTGGAGTGCCTGGTGTCCCGCCATGAGCGGTCGCTGCGGATGACGGTGGTGAAGCGCCAGGCCCAGTCCCCTTCCGGGGTCTCCAGCGAGGTGGAGGTGCTGAAGGCCCTTAAGTCTCTGTTTGAGCACCACAAGGCCCTGGATGAGAAGGTACCCGCTGACAGCCCAGCCCCCCCCTCCAGCTGCCCTTCCCTGAGCCTCCTGCGCCCCTTCTCTGAGAACCTACAGCCTGGCGGTAGGGAAACTGCCCTCTAGCTGTGGACCTGGCTCCTGCCTTGCCTTCTGTTGGCCTCATGTTGTTGTCCTCCTTCCAGGCCCCCTCCCTCTTGGGATGCCCTTCTCTTTGCCTCATGCCCAAAGTTGGTAGATCAAGCCCAGGGCCCTTCCGCCTGAGCCCAGAGGGGTCCGCCTATCTTCCTCCATCTCCCCTTACCTCGGCAGGTGCGAGAGCGGCTCCGGGCTGCACTGGAGCGAGTGACCACCTTAGAGGAGCAGCTGGCAGGCGCCCACCAGCAGGTGAGCCCCGTGGCCACCCTCTGATTGCAGAAGGCGGCTCCTGGAATCCTAGGCTGGTCTGCTGCAGCCCACTCTGTCCCCATCTGATGCTCCCGGCTGTCTTGGCCGGACACTGCTGGCCGAGGCTGGGCTAGTCATCTCTGTCCAGGAGGCGGGGCTTACAGGGTCTGGAGCATGTGGGAGGCTCTCTTCCCTGGGAAGTACTGTTCTTTGGGGACTGTACTTTACAGGTGTCCGCCCTGCAGCAGGGGGCAGGGGCTCGGGATGGAGTGCCAGAAGAAGAGGGGGCCGTGGAGCTGGGACCGAAGCGCCTATGGAAGGTGGGTAATGAGTTTCACAGCAAGGGGCTCATAGTCCCTGAGACAGGAGATGGGGGCCTCAGTTCAGTAGTGTAAGGGCCTGAGTTACATTTGGGGCCTTCCCTAGCATTCCCACATCTTCCCCCTTCTCCCTATCCTAGCTGCAAAGACATTGCAGGTTTTTATTACATCACCCATTGCCCCGTTAAGCACAGAGCATGCTTGTCTAGCCTGATTGTCAGGTTGACTTCTACCTCACTGCTG